AAAAGTATTATATGAAACAATTTCACAAGATTAAACAATTTCATGAAAAAATTTCATAAGATTAAACAATGAAATCGACAGATGAAGGTGGTTTGCACGGTTTATACAAATGAAGACGGCTTTCATATGATCACTCCTCTATATATATATATATATATATATATATATATATATATATGTCAATTAAAACTATTATGTAGCAATTCAAAACCGTATAGTGAAGCATAAGAAAATACAAACTACAAGCCGTACCACAAAAGTTTTAAACCGCATAGTTCAATGGGATTCAAACAAATTCGTAATCCAGCTTGGTACACCACTCAACAAAGTTGATTGAGAACGAAAACAAGATCCCAATACCTCCACGGTCGCTTAACCGCACATTTCAATAACCAGTGGAAGGATCTATTTATAACAAGTAGGGGTGTGCAAAAGGTCATCCGATACAATTTAAACCAACCGTCCATAATCAGATTGGATCCACAATTTCAACATCCAAATCAGATCGGTTAGTTCTTGAATGGCAGTCCAACATCCAATAAAACCAAACCAATCCAATGACCATCCAATTATCATCCACTTAATAACTATATATAATCATCCTGAATCCATTGGATTTCAACCGATGAACACCCCTAATAAAGGACTAAGAGTGTCCTAGAGATGAACTGGAGAATGAATGCTTCAAGTTGTTGATAATATAACACTAAAGAAGTTACAACACAGCAATTACAAGTTACATTGCTTTGAGCACCTATTGTTTCAACAGCAACTACACATACACTACAATCAACAAATACAAGTTATAACATTACTAGTTACTACACATACAATTTCAGATGGTGGGTTCCAAGGTGCTACATAATCATATCACATGTATGTAACCCATTACCTGCCCATTTATTGGTGGTAACAATATCAATAGCTTCTCCATTGTTGCAAATTAGACCTAACTGAAAATGATACACCACAGACTTATTTGTCTTCAACGGATTTCCCAACTCGAGACTTCCACGCACCCTGCAACCACACAAATTTTTTGTGTATTCAGTACATTTTGTTGAAATGAAATTTGGGTATTAGGAAGAACAGAATGAAACGATCAAGTACAAGAGGCTCGTCATCAGAGAACTCTGGTTTGTTAGAATCATCACAGGTTGATCCTTTTCTGTCTTCATTCCCTCCTGATGAATCTGATTCATGTATTTCATCTGGTGATCGTTTCTCTTTTTTATGGTTTTCATCCGATTCCGATCCGTCCTCAAGGATGGTGTCAACATTTTCAGTTTCTTTCTGCCCTGAATCAGGTTCGTTTTCATGTGAACACACTGTATCACTTGAGCTACTCTCTGCATCTTTAACTTGTTTCTCTTCAGACCTTGACTTCTCCACTTTGTCTGAATCCTCCAGACCTGCTGAACTCCCTCCCTGTCCATTACTCAATGGCTCCTCTGCACAAAGAAACGACAAAAGGGTTAAATCTAACAATTCTAACAGGCGATTCCTATCTTCAATGGTTAAGGTTCCTATGACATATATGACATGTTAATTATTTTATGCCCATTTTACTTGCCTTTTATACCCTTTGTAAATAAACTGCAGCAGAATGAAGACAAAACTTAAAACAAGACTAATGGAAGGAGAGGGATGTTACAGACCACCCGATATAAAATATGTTGTGGGGATCAACCGAGTAAGGGGACGTTTACCCAGGTAAGCATTTACCTTAAGAATAGACACTTCCACTTACAGTATCAGGTAAGACTAGTCCATCCAAACGGCTTCATATGCATCAATTTACCCTATAAGTGCTAACTGGAAAGATTCGTTACCCTCACTTACCGGGTAAGTGTTTCGGCCCTTACCATTGCTCTTACCTTGGTCCTTGTCATGTTAAGTCAGTAAGGTAAGCGACCCAATAAGCACTTACCGAGTAAGCATTTAGTAAACGACCCCTAAGTTGAAATAAGAGGGTTATAAATTGGTGGATTTATAATACAAAAGGATATGAATAAACAATAACATTAGAATAAACAATAACATTAGAATCTAAAAGAATATATATATATATATATATACATGCACATTGTTACGGATACTTCGACGGTTTACACTTTTGAAAGCATAGTTAAGTGGGAGCAAAAAGGTGTTTCTAGTTGCATTCCTAACTTATTGCATTTTGTATGCTAAATCAACATATTGCTAGCATAGTAACTACTCACAGAAGAGACTGTTCACATATGGAGACTATAAAAAGGATATACTCATTAAACAAGGAGGAATGGCATTATACCTTCCCGTGCATCCAAATTACCGACTTCAGAAAATGTGGTAGGCTTAGCCTCAGCTTGCGGCTCAGCCTCAGGCATGGATGTATCAGCATCTATGCTTCTAACCATTTCCGAATATGCAGTTCCTTGTGACACCCCCTTTTGTCCACGCTTAAAATTTTTTCTTGGGGTTCGTTTGCCTCTTATCATAGATGATGGTGATCTACCATTTCAACAAGATTTCAGCATACAACATTTAGAAAAATAATCAAATTGCAATACCCTACTCACATGTCAGTTGATTCCTTTGTTTGCTTGGAGCTACCCAATGACTTAATTTTCTTTTTAGATGATCTGCAAAACAGAAGCAAACAAGTTAGGATCACATAAAATAGTTGAATGAACTGTTCAACTCAATAAAAACAGCACACTTTTAAGTAAGTGGTCAAAATATCACGTCCAACTTGTACTTACCCTCCTTTAGGGGGTGGACTATTTGACAAAAGCTTCCGCTGTAAGGGTGAGTGCAACGGCATCAGAAATCAATCAATCGGTTTAATTTTAAGCACAAAATAAGGAATCCCACCTTTTTAGGCTTGTGCTCATCCTCAACAAGTTCCCATCGCTCCTTGTCTAGATATAGAACTTCAATATCTCCATCATCGTATAACACCTTCGTCATGGTAAGAATTAGTGGAATGAGGTGAAAGTGCACATAAAGAAATATCAATAAATTGATTAATGTGATCATGAAATGAGAAAGTTAACAACTGGAAATAAACACCTATCAAGGATGCTCACCACGTGTTTTTTCTTTTGATGATCATAAGACTTCACTACTCCTCCATAAAACCTGTCAATTATTCCTTTACACGTCAAGAACAGTTCTGGTGATGTATCTTTAAAATATTTAAGAACCATAACTTTGATGTTAGATGCAGCAACGGGTCGAAGTAATGCTATTTACAGAAACAATCACTAGATAACTGAGTTTTCTGAACAATGGAACTGTGTAGAAGATTCCAAATCAACAGGATTATTGTCAAAGGCAGCCACCAAAACAAGAAGATCATTAGAAGCTTACCTTTCCCTTGAACTCCGCAATATTTTTTATTTTACATCAATAGTTGAAGGGAATTTTCCCTTTTGGTGTAACTGGTTATTCCTTACCTCGGACCAAATTGGTTGAAGCCGTCAACTATTTTACGGAATGCGTGAATTTAAAAAAAAAGGCTTTGCAAGCGTGTATAGTTCGGGGCGTAAGTCCTCGGGAAGCAATCCCAAGAACAATGAAAGAAGGGATCACAGAGGCTGTAACAAAGTGTTCAAAGATAAAGCATTTAGGACATCTGCGATATTTATATTCGGAATTAAATGACCATGATATAAAGGGGAAATGGCTATTGCAACAGCTTTATGCCTTTATCCCCATTCATTGCTTGCTGAAACACCCTAGTTTCTACGTATTTTAGATTTCAGTGTTTTAAGTATCAAATTAAGTGCATTATAAAAAGGCACCAACAGCTGGCCAACATTATCAATTACTAATCATCATATTTTAAATGACAAGTAACTTACAAGGCAAAGCATGAGAAATCAAACATAAATACTTGATAAAGCAAGTCTACTAAGAATGACAAAACAGACTAGTTATGAGTTGTTAAGAGTAAAAGTATGTTTTGGCAAAATTATTGATGACAAACAAGTGTAGTAAGCATGACAAAACAAACCAGTTATGAGTTTTTAAGGCTAGAAGTATCTGTTTGCAAAATTCTTGATGAAAAACAAGTGCTAAAAACATGACAAATAATGCTAGAAGCTTGATGTGTCAAGATTATTTTTATCTTAAGCATAAGGTGTTAAACTCTCATGAGAGTACAACCATGTAAACAAGAACTAATAGTTAATACGTTGTAATTACCTATAAATAGTGATTGAAATGAAGCCATTATTTCCATCCCAAATTAAGAAAACACCCTCTGAGTTTATAACAATACAAAGTTTGAAGTGCGAGATCAAAGTAGAAGAAAAGTCAAGGGTAAAACATGGTAAGAACATTATGATTTACTAAGATACATACATATATATATATATGTGTGTGTGTGTCATATAAATGTACTTTATGCATCATCAAGAATTTGATAAGATGTTTTGCCATGTTTATGTATGACCATAAATATCCAACGTACAAGATACAGAATGAGGGGACATCTTGCTTTACATGAAATGATGATACATTCGCAAACGGTCGGTTTGCAAGACGTCCTTTCGTTCTATATCTTGTACACTGAATATTTATGGTCATACATAAACATCGGTTAAGAAAACGGTTGATTTGTGCGCCTTGAGGAGCGCCTCAAGGTGAGGCGGTCCAAAAAAGTTTCTGAGGCGTCGCCTCTCATTCCTAATCTGGGATGTACGCTTTGTAGTGATGAGGCGGTGGTGAGGCTGTGAGTCTGTAAACGTGTGAGAGGCGCACAGCCTGTTTAAGATAAGAGTTCAAGGGTTAGTGATAATGTCAGACCAGCAGCAGTCTCACAGTCTCACATTCATTTGTTGTTAGTGGGAGTGTCTGACCATACATTATATGTAATAACTTTTTTCTTCTTCCACTTGGTGCTAGAACCCAAAAATTATATAATTCTTCTCCCACTCAGTGCTGTTGGAATCCAACAGTGTACCTGCTGCATTTGGACTTGTAACATATATCCATACATATATAATATATATAATAATACCAACAAAGGTAGAGGTTCAAACGAGAATACCTCCATTTTATGAGAACGCGAGAACACCCTTATCGCATGTGATAATACGCGTGAGGGGACCATATGATGTGCGGACGACGTGTTCTACGACTTAGCCCGCGCCAAAGGTTGTTTACGTCTATGATTTAGCATCACATGTGATGGTCTTGATGGATTATAGTATCATATCAACAACACCCTTATCACATGTGATAATACATGTGAAAGGGCTTAGTGGTGTAAGAGCGACTTGGCATCACAACCAAGATCACATCAAAAATCGCCCGCGTCTCTGATTTAGTATCACATGTGTATCATATGTGATGGAATAATAGTATCACATGTGATTGTCTATAGTAAAAGAGTGTTCTTGCGTTCTCGTAAAATGAAGGTGTTCTCGTTTGAACCCTTCCCTACTAACAAAAATTATATGTATATTAAAATATCTCTTTGTTACTTGTTGGTATATTATATATGTATAATTATACATAATATTTTGTTTTTGAACTTGCCACCTGCTATACTTTACTCACTTTGCGTACATTTATATATAGTGTATATTAGTATTTGTATATTAAGCTGCTAAATACAACTTCACAAGTGTGTATATATGTATATATTCTGGTTTTGTGTATTATGCTGCCAATACAAGCGTCTATATTAATATATATTCTGTTTTTGTGTATTATGCTATCACATACAAGTGTGTAACTGTGTACATATATGTGTATATTCTGTTTTGGTGTATTATGTAATAGCCACATAATAGTGCATTTATGAAATTATGTTTGTTGTTGTTAAATGTCATGCATTTATGAACTTTGTTGTTTTATTTTTTGGGGCTTACGCCTTGACCGTCTCGAGGTTCACGCCTCATGCACCTCAGAGGAAAACGCCTCGAGGTACGTTTCTGTTCTTTAAAACCTTGTACATAAATATGTTATGAACTGATTTAATTGAACAAGGGAAATAAGAACAGACCACCAAGGATGCTTCAATTTGACAAGACCAAAAGGGTTTTCTGGCTATTCGAGAGGCCAGAGCTCTCCTAAGAACACACTTACTAATTTCTCAATCCCTCTACTCCCTTCCAAACCTCTATTTATACTAAATATTTATTCTAAGCAATACCCAAACTACCCCTTCTTAACTATTCTAGAATATTATATATGGATGGGTTGGGCTTAACTGGGTGCATGACCGGTCTGAATCTCCACCCCCGCATAGCACTTACCAAATTTTTAAAGAAAAACTGAAAAAACGCTTAAATATGTCAAAACATCTTATCCAATTCTTCATGATGCATAAAATACATATATGTATCTCAGTAAATCTCACAACGTACTCCCCTTGCTTTACGCTTAGTTTTTCTTCTACTTCGAATTCGCACTTCGAACTTTGTATTGTTCTAACCTTTGAGAGTGTTTCTTACATTGGGATGGAAATAATGGTTTCATTTTAACCACTATTTATAGGTGGCTATAATGTATTAACTACTTGTTCTTCTTGCTCACATGGTTGCACTCTTATAAGAGTTTAACACCACATGTTTAAGATCAAATAATCTTGACACATAATGCTTCTAACTTTTGTTTCTCATGCTTTTAGCCCTTGTTTGTTATCAAGAATTTTGTGTACACATACCTCTAGTCTTAACAACTCAACTTTTGTCATCAAGAATTTTGCCAACACATATTCTAGCTTTAACAACCCATAACTAGTTTGTTTGGTCATGCTTACTACATTTGCTTTGTCATCAATAATTTGCCAGCACATACTTCTAGCGTTAACAACTCATAACTAGTTTGTTTTATTATTCTTACTAGATTTGCTTTGTCAAGTATTTAGGTTTGATTTCTCATGCTTCCCTTGTAAGCTACTTGTCCTTTAAAATATGATGATCAATAGTCAGTAATATTGGTCAGTTACTGATGCCCTTTTAGTGCACTTAATTTGATCATAATACTTGTATTTAAGATTTAAAACATTGAAATCTATCATAGATAGAAACTACGGTGTTACACTTGCAACTATCCAGAACCTATCTAGACAAAAGTATAACTGAATGCATATATATGGATGGTTATGGCTAGGTCAATTAGCATGGAAAACTATTGGATGAATAGAGAAAGTCCAGATGAAACAAATCAGCAATCAAATTCTATACAAATAGAACACTTGATTGCAGAAGGTAGTGCCCACATTTACATGTATTGCAGCGACTGCATAATTCATAACTTCTTATTTTTTTTAATATAGAAATTGAAAAGAAAAACTTACGCCTTGTCCATAGGCCACCAAACCTTTATGCGTCTGCCAATCAAGTCCCTAGGGTTAGTTTTAGTTTCATCCAAAGTGCACTGAAAAGAGACAAGATCATATCAGAAATTGGCATCTGAATGATATCAAAGATCATTTTAAACAAGTAATAATAAAAGCAAAAGAATTGGAAATGGAATAGAAAAATGAAAATCAGAACCCATTTACATGCTTTAAATAAAAGATGGAAAAATCTGCCTTTTACCTTTGCTAATCCTGAAACCCTTCTTCGTTTCCGCTTCTTGACATGCCCTGACTTCAGATTGATACCCGTCTCAAAAGACTTTTTAGGCTTCTGCATAAGAAATTGACAGATAGTTCTCAAGGAACAGCTGACCATAAAGAAAAAGGTTCACATTGATGCTGCTCTCATTAATTTCACAAATGAAAAGGTTACCTCCAAATCAATGTCATCAGTATGTCTGGTCTCTTCTACATGAATAAGACCTTTAAGTTCCAAGCGACTGTGTGGATCATCATTCATTATAATGCTACCGAAAGCTGATCGACCCTTGAAGCCACCCTTTAGGAAAGATGACCTCTTATGGCCTTTGGCAGAGGACGATCTCCGACGCTTGGGTACAGAGACATTGGTTAGATCATTAGGCAGGTTTTTCCTCTTCAGCTTTGCTTCATTTCTAACTTTCCCATGACCATTGCTCGAATCGAATTGATTTGAAACACCCAAATTATCCAAATTTATTTCTCTCAACATTCCCAAGATATCAACATTATTTTCAGTTTCCACAACTGGTGTAGAGTCGTTCTTCACTGCCTTTCTTGCCTGTGATCCTTTAGCTTTTAGACGTTTTAACATTTTTCCTAAAGGCACCTCGTTTCCATCTGTTTCACTGTCCTTCACCATATCAACTTCATTGGATTTTGATGGAACCTGGGGACATTTGAAGAAGAAATTCACAAATGTCACCACCTTTTAGTATGAAAGCATGTAGCTCTCTTGTTTTTAACTTCTATATCATTCTTCCATAAATTTAATAATTTAAAAGAAATTAAGCCATAAGAACATACACTGCCATTAGCTTCCAAGATAAGCGACTCAAAGTGGGCAAGAGCACTTTCGTCAGCCAACCATGTCCGACCTTCAGTGACCTATTAACATCATTATATAATACCAACTGTAATTAGATAATAGCAATTTCCTAATGCATCACAAGGTTGACATTTTTGTAAGCATCAATATTTGCATAACAATCAGGATAAATTCACATTTAAGAATAAAACAAACGTAATCCTGTAACAGCCTCACCACCTGCCTTTCATTTAGATCTATTAGAGCATCTTTCAACCGTTTCCTCTTTCAAAATACATAAGTAGGGAAGATGCTCTTGACAAACTCACCTCCATGTCAATCTCTTCTTTCTTCTCGTGTTCTTTGTTCTCTTCTTTCTTCTCGTCTTCTTTGTTCTCTTCTTCCTTCTCTTCTTTCTTCTTGTATGGTGTGTACAACACTTGAGGAAGCGAAACAGGTACAACCGATTCAAGAAGATCTTCTTGTTTTTGAGCTAAGCGCTTGGTGATTGACAAGCAAAGATCACATATTGCATACGAGTTCTGGCATGAAATACAGGTTAGGAATCTAGGATGACAACACAGACTGTTCTGGAATTTTTCTTATTGATTACTGTTGTGAGTATGTTTATGTAAATATTATAGTTAAAAAGATATTTCTGCGACATCCCCTCCTGTTTGATTTCACTATATATTCACACAGGAGTTACACATTAAGTCTACAGTATCATCACACAGAGAGAGAGATAGAAAGGAGCCTGGGTGATGTACCTTTGACATAGTAGCATCTACGGCATCTTTGGAGTTCTTGATATTTTGAAGAACAGACACTATCAAAATAATCTCTTCCTTCTTCAGACCAACTCCAGGCTTGCCATCCTCGTCTCCAAGTGCAAACATAGAAAAATATTTATACAATTTCCTGGAGGAATAGAAACAAAAAACAATTTTATGAAATATCAAAACTCAAGTTATTTTGTTATAGGTTAGAAATGGATAAACAGTTAACAGCAGAAGGGATAACTGAGCAACACAGAAAGAATGAAATGCAATGAAAGCTATGCATGTATACATAGTAACTAGCAAAACTAAATAACGTCTAAGCTACGTGCAAGTTAAGATAGATCTCCCAGTAGAGTGGCAAGGCATATACGCAAGCAAGTGAACAAGCAATAAACAAACAGAATCCTGCCCGGAACCAAATATACCTGTATATTGGTTCATATGCTTTGATATCCTTGCATTCATCAACATTTGGACATGAAGGATGATGGGCAAGTGCATGGACCAAGTAAGGAAGAATGTACTCTGGCTGAACCACCAAGGAATTTCCATCGGTTTGCATAGAAAGTTCTTGGGCCTTCCCTTGCCGAGACATCTGAATGATGTCACTCAGATGCTTTTCCTGCCAAAGTTAAATTTTAATAAGATCTGATTGGTGCATCTTCCAAGTACCATGGAAAGGGAGTCAAGGCTATAATGTTTTAAGGAAGTTCTTGCGAAGATCTTTTTATTAACAGTTCCTTGAAAATGCTCTATATAACAGCTGGGAGATTTTGCAGCACCAGGCTGCATATCTTCTGGCATGCAAGACTAAAAAGGTACTTATTATAAGATGATGGAACAGAAAAATCCACAACTCAGAGATAAGGGATCTTAAATTATGATAAAACTAGTATATAAACTTCTGACAGGATCAATAGATTAGAGGATTCATCCAGAGTAACCTCAAGTACCTCTTCAGGAATAGATGTCTGGGACCCGAAATCTGATAAGAAGGCACAAATATATTTGAGGTCCAAACTCCCATCCTTTATGTACTGATGTACTTTGGTGAGAAATTGTTTCATAACTTTGGGGAATCCAACCTGCATGCATCATAAAATGAAGTTGATGATAAGCAAGTTGGCATGTTGTGTTCGAAGAAAATAGAGTAGACAATCAAATCATCATATAGCCTATCAACAAATATAGCACTATATATATTATTTCTTCTGCACTTGGAAATGAGAATTTTACCTCTGATGTTCTCAAGGTGAGGTGAAATACATTGACGGGAATCTTCTTATCCCAATGTTTTGAAAGACGAATAATGGCCTTTGCTGATGCTAGCTTTAAATGGGCCTTGTCAACAGCACTGATAGAAAGAAAAAGAAAAGGAGAAAGATAAGAACATTAAAAAGGTAGAATACAAAATGCATTCTTACACAGCCATGGATACAATCTTTCCTGTAAGCAAAGGTACCTTGATTCAACATCTTTTGAGATTTCTCCGAAAGAAAGTATACTCTGGAGATCCTTTATCAGTTCATCGATACCAACGCGAAGATGTCCATCTTTGACAGGCAAGTAGCTCTTTACCAGAACTTTAATACCAAATATCTACAACAAATTTTAAGTTTCATTAGAATTTCCCATCCAAAAAGGGCAACCCTGGTTTACCCAAGGCACCTGAGAAGGGCGGGGAAGGAAATTTTTGGATGCAGCCTTTCCTTTGCTTTGCAAAGAGACTGTTTCCACAACATACAAAATATACAGACTCCCGGTAAAACAACCTTTAATGAACAAAGTTCACTTCTGTCATCCCAAGATTGTTTTGCTTTATCTCCTGTTTTCTGAAACAATAATGAAGCTTCAAACTATTTCAATCATATCAATAAGAAGTATAAGACAGCAAGTCGTTGTGACTATCTCATACCTGACTGCACCTTAAGATATCTTTTCTTATAAAGCATTTAATTTTACTTTCTTGTGTTTCAAAGACCGGCATGGCCATCTGTGCTATACACCCCAAAGATTGTAGTACAGTAGGCAAATGTGTCCTCTTCTCTAGCATATCCACTAGTCGCTGCAAGTCATTTTAGAAAGATCAAAAACAAATCATCAAGACATGTTTAGAATAAAATGATGCATGATATATCATGTTAGAACCTTATATAGAACAGAAAGTGACTTGAGCCCATCATCCTTTGTTATAGCTGCCAAGGCATGTACAGCATACTTGGCCTGAGTCCTACTACCTTCTAAGCATATTCTTTCCAGTATGAGGTCTAATGTACTGCATAGAAATAGAAAGCACCTCAGAAAGATGATGCAAAGATCAACTAGGGTATCACAAAAGCAATATCCAAACCTAGATGATTCTCCCAATTGTTCACGAATCATTCCACCAGCCTTTGCTAGAACATGCAAAACACCTTCCTTGATTGCCTCGTCATCATCTTCAAGAAGACGGACCAAATCTTCTTCTATCCCACTTAGCAGCAATGGACTGAAGCATGCAATGATCTGAAAATTTATCATAAGTAATTGCAGATGTTCAAAACAAGTAAAAGGAAAAACAGGAATGCTGCTATCATCGACATAGGGTTTTTTTTACAGTGTTAAATAGGAATTTTAATTGGAGATTTTAAATAACAGCATGTTCCCAAATTTTATTGAGGTAGTATGATGAATATAAAAACACCATGACGGAGGTTAGGATTCATCTAGGAATAATGATTGCCCCACATTAGCCGGGGAGTGCAAAGCCATCCCCGATTGTAATCAATCATTCAACTCCATAAGGCCCATTAGAGTTCTAGCAAGAGTAAATAACAAACTCCATAACACCAAAACAAAGTCCAATATACTAGACATGACCATTACAATCAATAAAGAACATTTTGCTAGTAAACGTTTGATTGTTACTGAAATTTGTTTCAACTAACATATGCATCAAACTGGCTGATATGCACAATTGACAAATAGTATATGCACCATAAATCAAAAAGTAATCAAATATTTAAAACATAGAAATGAAAGAATCTGGAGTAAATAGTAAAATGCTCTTTCAAATAGAAGGGAAAACCAACACAAGATGAAAATGTTACCACAAGTATGTTCATGCAAGACTGAGTTAATACTCTGTTCCCAGCACATTTCTGTAGGTCGGTCTCCAGAAGAAGATCTTTGACAAAGTCCATGTCAAAGATTATGTATGAACATTTCATAGAGAGAGTGTTTAGAAGTTCATAAAGTGGATGCTTTTCACCAACTATTTTAAGCAATTCATCCTGCAAAAAAGTAAACATGTTATAAATTTATCAATTGAAAAATTAATCTGCACTTCTCCCAACTGTTTGACTAGGAAAACTTTCTTAAAATCCTAATTAGATTGAGTCCATTGAAACTTGTTTAGTCTGCAGCTTCATCAGATCTTGCTCCCTTCCTCCACCAAAAAGAAAGCATATAATTACTTCCAGCTAGCTCCTTACCCGAAAGCTCCTACTTTGAAGAGAACTAGTGTTCGGATCCAGTAGTGTTGTCAAGATCTTCCAAATGTTAACATCTTTCAATTGATCAAGAAGCTGAAGATCTGCCTCTGCTTTTATGGGATCAACAAAAGAGTGAGACATTAGTCGAATCCCATGTGTGACTTTCTTCAGGAGCTCTGAAGCATCACCATCCTGCAATGCAAAAGGGTATATTTTTAGCAACATAAACTTGCAAGTTTTCCTGTCCATTGTAAGTGATTTATCAATAACAAACCTTGTACATCTGCCTGAGTGAAAGATACTTTTGCAACTCTAGTTGTGACCTGCAATCCAAGTGGAAATCACCTGAAAATTAGTGCAAAGATGTATTTAACAAACAAAAATAACAAGAAACAGCAATCCCATTTGGAGCCACATATATGCATAAATAAGGTATTCACAAACCTTTGCTTCTGCTCCAGTATTTTCTCTAAAGCCTTCACTTCGACTTTATCAAATTTCGAAAATAGTCTGACCCAGTTTCTAACCTTATCTCTGACAGATAATTCAACTGGGAAGAGCGATGTGCATAGAATGTGCTCAACTGTGTCTGGGCTGGAAATGGAGAAATCAATCACATCAATTCAGAAAGTGGAATTGTAGCCAACTGCAGAGCTTCTTGTAGGTAACTTACCAGAGATGATAAACGAATTGTAAAGATATTCCAAGGGCAGGTACTTCCAATGAATTAACAACCAAAATTATTGGAGATTGTCATTGAAGTGTCTTTTTCTTTTCTTTTCTTTTCTTTCCTTATGAAAATTATGCCCATTTACAGTTTAATTGACACAAACTCAAACCCTTAATTATAATGAAAAAAATACGTCAAAATCATCCAAAAACTAGACTAGTATAACTTACCTAAAATCTTTGTCATGGAAACATCTTAAAATCTAGTCATTGAAGTGTTCTTTTTCTTTTATGCCCATTTACAGTTGGCACAAATTCAAACCCCTAATTTTAATAAGGAAAATACTTCAATTTCATCCAAAACTTAGACTAGTATAACATACCCAAAATCTTTGTCATAGAAACATCTCAAAATCCTTCCAGGTATCCAATCATAGTCCAAATTCAGACCACCAATTTGTTTCGAGCACCAAGTCTGGTATATACCAGAGAGCCTCTCCATGGTGTACTTTTTCACAAGAACCTGCATCACGAGAAGAATATCGATTAGGGTAATTTCTGCATGTTCAAAGGCAAATAAAATGGGATATGATACAAACACACATACAGAAACAATAAAAACACAAACTAAATATTTAACATGTGCCTGGAAAAGCATAATAAGTTCTCACATGCAACTGAATTCTCAGAATTTATAAGCATGTTATCCTTTCTTAGGAACATGTTCGTACATTTTGTTGTCTGCAAAACTTCTCATTCAATTGTGTACTCAGTTTTATGTAAATAGATGCTTAGTGGGATAGTGATAAGAAAGGGGTAGTTATACAGATTTGTCCTGAAGGCGCTCAGCAACAAGCTTTATCGTATCAGCTGAAATAGAAGACAACTCCAAAGATGCTACATCTGAAACTACTGCAACCGCTTGTTTGCGTATACTTTCATCACAATCCAACAGTCGGTCAGATAAGGCAGCTACATGTTCACCCAAATCAATATTAGAAGATATCACATAACATGCATGGAACTGAAAATGAAAACGTGAAATAGCATATAGAGTAAATCACGACTTACCAACTAATTGGGGAGCTTCTGCTCTGAAAGGATCAGATGATAGACATAGCTTGACACGCTCAAGAACCGACATTTGGACCTCGATAACTTTGTCATTCGATCTCTTCAGAAACTCCAAAAAGACTGGATGAAATGACTGAGGGATGGTAGATCCCTGGAGAGAAAAAAGGTCTCCCACCAGCCTGACTGCCTTCAAGCGAAGTTCTACGTTATCTGTCTATAAATGCCAGCACTTTAGCTCACTAACGCTTGTGTTATTTGAACTAAATAAACGTCCTCTAGCAGAATTTTTATTATGGGAAATGATACTAATGTAATTTAACAAAGATAAGATGTCGATGATGCAAGTCAATTGGAAGGTACAAAAATTCCATGATTACCTGTAGCTCTTGTGTTAGATACGACACAATTCTTGATAAGGCATGAGGAGCACATTGATATATATCATATATAACTTCATGGTAATCAATCTGAGGATTCGAAGGACTGCTATCTCCTGACATTGATGATAAAATAAACTGCTTAATGCCAGGTTCAAGTTTTCCAGCACATTGCCCAATAACATTCATAGCAAGCCTCCTTGCAGCCGTAGTTATATCCTAAGAAACGAAGGTCACAACTTCACTACTCAGAATGATATATATTTGACTGGATAGAGAATATACCAGCATCATCAAAAGTACATGAACAAACAAACATTAGAAAGAAGTGTGGATGTTAACAAAAGAAGACAAGCTTACTTTCTTATCACGGCCTAGAACAGATAGAACAATGTGTAAAAGGTCTTCCCCAATGTCCTCACTTTCTTCCAAAAGAACCACCATGATCGTCTCCATTGCCAAAATAACCGTTTTGGGATGCTCATCACTGCATGCATTTAAAGCAGAAGTCATCAGGCCATCATCGGTTAGGGAAATTATACCACAAACAAATTCCCTGGTAGCAAAGAAGCCTCCTATAATCACTGACACCACAATCATATGCGTAACTATCACATGTAATTCCTATAATTGAGCTTTATGCGAGACCTGCAAAAGATAAAAGATTTTGCAGTGACCAATGATTGCAAACAACATAACCATAGTTATCTGTCAGACAAAATCAGCGACCCCAAAGGATTATATATATTTAGATGAATCAGATATGTTAAGATCCTGTAAGGATGTAACTGCATAGTGCTTAAAACTAAGTGAGGTCTTGTTTCAATCATGCAAGGTTAAATAGAGATGTGACTCGCATATGGAGAAGAGAAACAGAAAACATTGGCTAACATACATTCCAAATATCCAGAATATGGCACGTGAGAATCAGTTCAAGTTAGAGCAACCACATATATATAACCATAAAATGGTCAATAGCCTGTTGCATCTTCCACCTTACTAGGATTAGCTAAAACTCGATATAATGACTTGCCCTTGACAATAACGGAGCCTTGATCAAGCTACATGCAGTTAACTACTAGTCATGATGGTACCATGGATGATGCAAGCCACCAAATCCATGAAGAAACAATTCTACATAGCAGGTACTAGCATAGTTAATCTCTTAAGTGAGCCAAGTAGGATGACGCATAGTGATGGAACATTCCAAAGAATCCCTCTATATCTTCCTACGGTACTACAAACCTAACTTTTTGGAAAAAGGATGGTACCTCCAGCAAATCCTATAAACCTATTTGTTGACTCTACAGTCTCCCGAACCCACCCTCTACCCTCCTAGCCTGCTCCCCCAACTACAGTACCTAAAGTCCTACAACCTATCAACTACCTTAATCCGCGGCCTCCAAGAGGTCATACCCTCAGAGTGTACCAAGCCGTCAGTACATGTGCTCATCATATTGTGAGCAAAAATCAGAATTCCAGTTTCCAAGCACAAGCATATCTAAATTTGGGACTTCACTAAATGTTGTACTCTCAATGGCATAAAGGAACGAAGAGAAGAAACACCACCAACTCCTCACGACCTAAACTGATATCTCCTTACTACTTGAAGACAGGTATGATACAATAGATATTTTGGGGATTTAAAATTTGCAAAAGGTAAAGTATGTTTCCGTAAGAGGTGATCATAAACTCTTTCTGCCTAATCCTATGATCCTAAATGCCCCATCAGGGTACATGATTCATCATTTTTCGAATAACCATAAACTCTGTATAGGCTACAATCCTCGATAAGACAGTATAGCTTGTTTCAAGATTTTATATGTCCGTGTCAATTGTCTCATTCTACCAACTAATACTAGGAGTATCATTGTGCTAACCTGACAACTTGAATGTCAACATTCTATGTTCTTAGACCTTCTTGCACGAAAAAATTTCCTCAATACGTTTCGAATGAGATTTTTTTACCTCCATCATATGGCCAATATTTTGCTCTCCAGCCTAAGTTTCAGATAAGTCATATTGTTTTTATTTTTCACACGCTTCAAAGGTAGCATGCTCACAGCAACTCACATTTATTTCATATATATTGCTCTTTTATTTGCCAACTACTTGTACATGAAGAAGAACTGGCCAAAATATCATTATATTTACTTTCCCTTTATGAAAGTAGCTAAAAAAACTAGTACAGAAGCGAATTCACTTTATCAATCTCATACTTTCAGTCAACGGCATCTCCACCCAACAATGACTAAGCCTGAATAGTTATCATCTGCTAACACATCTCTTGGTTGTGAAGCTTAAATTATTCATTTGTATTTCCTCACCTGATAAAGTTCCCCTCCATTACTACTGCTAGATTCAAAGCCTGTTGATTTAAAGTTTGTAGTACTATTTTAAGACAAAACATCAGGAACAAAACTGAACGTGCAATTCATAAGGAAAAAAACTAGTGGTAAGACTCATAGCTCGGAAATATACATCAGTGTGTTATACTGATAATAACCTTCCTTTGACTATATAGTATGCAAAACAAGAGATGAAACCACTTGGCATAATCCATACAGTGTAATCACAAATATGGCTTACTAGAGACTCCTCGAAATCTTTAAATAAGACATGTCATACTGTATAACAATGAAGAAAAAGAGGCCATCATTATGAGACTACCATTCCCCTTATCATTGAACTTCAACACAAGGAAAAAAACTAAACCTGGCAACATCGAAAAACGTTTTGAACATTTTGTTGACTAAATCATCACATTCTAGATCCAACATCACAACGAACGATCTGTACTTAGCAATGGTGTCTAATATGATCACTCTCCTCCCAAAAGATGGGTCTTTCGTATCTCGTAACCCATTGAAGGTGCTTACAAACAAACGAAAGATGTCCTGAAGCAAGTGAAACAACAATTAGTATCCAAAATATAGAAAGATCATAATCATGCAAATATGAACTCGTTACTATCAAATATCTGGTCCTGTAAAAGAAAAAAAGTACCTTTAAAACATCATCACTATACGGTGCTTCTGGAGCAGTAATTCTGGTTATCTCACAAGTACATGTTGCAACAAGAAGCTTAACTTCTTCATCTTGATGCTTTAGCAGTTCTGGCTTGATAATAGCATTCAAAAGAGGCCGCATAGATTGCAACAATGACTTCGGTGGTGATTGATCCAACTCGGTAAGAGATGCTGCCGCTTGCTGTAGATAGACCATATCATAGGAACAAGAAAGTTTTACAATAAATTGTACTCGTAAAACTATAAGAACTTAGTATAGTTTAGTAGTGCAATCAATTTTAAAACTATAAAAATTTGAGTTATTTTCACTGGAAGATGATGGTTTATGTACTTGCACTAAAACTGGGAACGAGATCTTCACAGAAGCAGCTACTTTACCGGCAACATAAGAAAACCCCAACTTTAGTGGCACAAGGTTACACTGATTCAGTCCTGTAGTTTGGTGCACCATGTCTTTGATATTGCTGTTCATATGACTTTTTGATGCATTTTACTTATTCCTAGTTTCCTACTAAAATCTGTTTCCAGGTCATATACTAGTCAAATACTTGCAATAGATCTTTAATCTTTTCATGCCTCAAAACAAAGAACACCACATTATACAAAGCATACCAAACAGGCAGTACCGCACACTTTAACTACACCTAAAGACTCATAAATGGGCATTGACACAGATTACATAAGGAACAAAWACCTATGATTATTGAGAAGAATGAATGACATAATTTGCCACATTTTTACCACCATGGCTAACCTATTTCATTATTCCAAATTGAGCCCTAAATTTAACTAAATATGTCCAAGAAACCAACAATATTTTCTAATAGGAAAATCTTCTACCAGTAATTAGAAAGACCTGGAAGCCACATCAAAGGGGGTGAAACTTTTGTCAGCCCATTGACCCAGCCTCGGTGTTCTTTTACTGTTGTGGGTTGGAGTTGATCTTAGATATTCAAAGAGTTCTAACCACTTGAAAAGCCAGTTAAGTATACAGACTTTTTCTCAATTACAATTCACAATGGAAACAGGAACTTCGAAGTGCAACTGGCAAGCAAATATGATAAAGTAATTATATTTTAAACCCACCACTTATCTTCCCTGTTCCTTCAAGCTGAACCCTAACTTTAAGCAAAAAATACACAAGATCTCCATACATAAAAAAATGAACTTCCCTCAAAAGACATTATTTATTCCTCAACTAATGAGCAATAAAGCTACCAAAAACCATAAAGAAATCATTAATTGAAAGTATCATAAATCAAATTCCTCAAAATTTGAAGCACTGTGAGTGAACAACTCAATTTTATTACCAACTGAAATTCACAAGAATAAGCTGATAAAACTACATAATGCACAAAGAAAATAATGGTTCGGAAAACACAGAGAAGCAGAATCTTCAGAAGTTGGAATTTGTCAGTGCAATGGTGGAGTGAGTACCGTTAAAAGCTTGAGAAGATCATCTTTACTAGCAGGTTGATTCTGAAGCTTGGATCCAACTTCCTTCAGCTGAATTTGGAGCTGGTCAGCCATTATTTTTCTTCACAACTCTGTTTCTCTTTATATTTCGTTTTCAAATCACCATCTAAAAGCCCTGAGATGGAAGTAAAAGGAAGGGTTTTCGAACCACGAAGCGAAACCAACGCACCTATTAAATTAACCAAGTATGTGTGAACTTGTGAAGTCCTAAAAGCAAGTCTATTCGCAATTTTTTGCAACCACGAGGCGGTTCTTAAGATTCATCTTATGCTCGAAAAAGTTCTATTTTTGTTCATAGATATTGTTAATAAAGCTTTAATTAGTGGAAACAATGTAAGTCGATAAATTAACATGATATTGTGATATGAAGAAGTAGTTTTGGGTATAAATTTTTTATGTTTTGGAGATTCTGTCTCGCTTTTATAAATAGAAGTACTTATTCGTTCAAAAAATATATAGAGTCTGTTTACATTTTCTTGGATTCTTTTCTCATTATTTTATCATATTAACCATTTATAGGTTATAAATCTGTATTTAATATGTTTAGGAAGTCCAATAATTTATTTGTTTACAATAATTATCCAAAAACTTAATCATACAAATTATAAAGCTCCATTCCGTTTTTTCCGACCCACTTTTAAAATTCACAATTCTATCAAATTTTTATTTACTTTTATTTTTTATGTAATTTTTGTACTTATATTTTGTTTTATTTTATTGTGCATTTATAAGACTTACGCTTAGAATTTTATGATACATAAAAAACACAAATTAATGATAAACATAATACATGACATAAATTATCTTGATTCTAATTATGCATATAGACAAAAAGACAGTCAATTCTTGAGTCCTTAATATCGTTGCATGAATTCAATTAAGAATTTAATATTTTTTGTTCTTTCTATTATATAATTAGTTATCTCCATAAAAATATAGTATAGTAGTTAACTTTTTTCTATAATAAAGAAAATTAACAAGAGCAATTTTTTAATCCATCTTCAAAAATAATACGTAAACATAATTTAACCAACTTAAGATGGATACCTTTTTATGCATCTAATTATGAGGGCCGGTCCTATGGTCTTGGATGCCCTGGCTGGAAAGTCAAAATATGCCCCTAATCCAAGAAAAACAAATTTCTAAGTACTTGGGGATGCCTGAAAGTAATCACACTGTACATGTCCTCATCGCAAGGCCTATATCTATGCTAATAAAATGTGGAACAACGTTATTAGGTAGATGCATAGGTTTGCTGTGAGAACTCTGAACTTGAAACAGCTAGACAAAATATTGTGGTGAAGTTAAATCAATATGCAATTGTTTCACTATCCATTTTTTAGCCCTCTAAGTCAAGATATCATGATGACATTATGATTTTAAAACCAAGTTGAGTTGAATCATTTGACTATTTTGTGGTTGCACTTGTTCTATTTATTTTCATCTTTTGATATATAGGATCAAACTTTTCTGTTTGTAATTTTTTTGAATGCTTCATCCATAATGCAATATCTTTTAAGAGTGGAGTTGTATAAGATTTAAATCCTATCTTCTGTCCACCATGAGATCTAAACACCTGTGTTTTTACCCAAACTCCATCTTGCTAATTCTAGAGGCTGGTGGTATGGATGCACCAAAGAACCACTTGCAGTATGCATAACTGCATAATTTCTTTGTTTCAGAACTATTTTATGTAGCCTGTCTGTTGCTTTTTTCTTGTGTGTGCTTACTATCTGTCTATCTCATATCTAGGCTTGATTAATGTTCTCGATAGGTACAAAGCAAAGGGCATTAGATTAGACTCTAGCGATTTTGCTTATCTCTCATGCAAGGCCAGGAAGTTCTTTCGCAATGTGGAAAAGGAATTTTGGTTTCTTGGTTTCGAAAGATTAGTATTACTGCTACCAATGACCTTAATGAGAAAACTTTAGATGCTTTAAACAATCAGATGACTGATTATGAAGCCATCAATCATAAAACTGCTTCAAGAGATTTTCTTTCTATAGTTCTATGTGCTCAAATTGGCAAATAAACAAATAATCAAATACTCACATAACCTAATATTCAATAAGCATATAATCAAATACTCAAATAGGCAAATAATCTAACATTCTAATAAGTAATAACCTGCTAACCTTATTAACCTAATCAGTGCTCAATTAATTAGAAAAGAACCTGGCCAAGAAGGGAAATAGGGCAGAAGGTGAGAGGCTGAGGGCAGAGTCGCAGAGCAGAGCGATGTGAGAGGCTGTTGGCAGAGCAGATGCTGGAGTGGAATCGAGCGCGTAGGTCGAGACTGAAAGCGAGAATCGAGAGGGCAGATCGACAACTTATTCGGTTAATTTTCTTAGAAAAAAATGAAAAGCAAAAAAGTCAAGTCTACCATTACATATTTAAGGGTTGGGCCTCTGCTGCCGCCATCGTTCCGCATAGGCCCGGCGTTGCTAATTATAAGGAAGCCTAAAATCACAAAATAGCAATTTAATTTCATAATTTTTTTATTATAATATTATATTTTTAGTTTTTTTATTATAATATTATATTTTTAGTTTTTTTTATTATAGTAATGTATTTTTAAACTATTTTTATTAAGGTATTATACTTTAAAAAATTTACCCATTATAGCATTAGGTAATCTTTTAATTTAAATTTATCTATTATACTAGGTTTTCATGCCACCTCATTGTCCACGTAGGCTGTCCACATGTATTATAGTGATGTGACTTTTTTACTATATTATTGTACTTTCAATATTATTTTATTATAGCATCTACTAATTCTTATTAAACACTATACTTATAATTTTAATATTTAGATATTTTACATGTTATTTAATAAATGTATTATCTAAATTTAAAAAAAAATATGAATTATTCATTAATATATCAATATCAATAAAACTAGCAGAACACAACTGATCTCGCTAATATTTTTTAAAAAAATATATGTTTTAAAAAAAAGGAAAATAAGAATTGATTCTTTTTTACCAAAAAATATTATCTTTTAAAAAATATATTATATTTGTTCAAAAACTTTTTACTTAACGTATAAATATATTAAATTAATTAGATTTTTTTTGAATTATTTATTAAT